TGTAAACGGAACCCTCCAGAGTCATTCGTATAAATTTAACCAACTTATTGGGTATCATTAACATGGATATTTGCTTTAACATCTTTTGTCGATCTACTCCGTCAAACGCCTGTTTGAAATCGATATACAAGTTGTAAATATGTATGTTATATTCAATACATTTTTCATGTATACCTCTTAAAATATATATTTGGTCTATAGTTATGATACCTTACCAATCTTCTGGGATGACTTCTAGTGTCTATATGCGGTCGATTAGTTTATGGATACGCCTCCATAGCGCATGTTCACCATCCTTTATCAGTTTTGCAGTTATTCCATGTATGCCAGGTGCTTTGTTATTTTTTAAATGTTTTATGGCGTTTATCGTTTCTTTAAATGTTGGTTACTCAACTAGTTGTTCTGCTGTGTGGTGAATTATTTTCTCATCTTCGTTTTCTTCTTTTTCTGGGTTTAACAACTCTTAAAAATGCTCCTTCTACCTTTTTTTTATTTCCTCTTTCTCGCAGATAATTGCCCCATTTTTGTCCTTGCATACTGTTGATCTTATTATGTATCCTTGGGTGTATTGCTTGGTTTCCATGTAAAATTTTCTATTCTCTCTTTTATTATAATCGGTAATTTGTTGTATTTTTCTATTCAACATTTCTCTCTTTTTCCTTCTACATATTTTCTTTGCATCTTTTCTGAGTTCTTCATATGCCCTTCTATTCAATCGGGACATTTGTAGGCATCTGTAGACATTTCTGTCTAGCTATATTTTTGCTATTTATTACTTGTTGGCAATCTTGGTCAAAACATTCCTCGTTTTTTTTGCTTGAGGTTTCACCTAATGTTTCCTTTGCCATATTTGTAAATGTCGTTTGGATAACATTCCATTGCTATTCAATGTTGTTTTGTTCTCCTCTTTCATTTAATAATTCTTTTATTTTCTGCTGGTACTCATTCTTCTTTTTAAGATTTTTAAACATATATGTGTTCCATTATCTTAGTTAGGCGCCTTACGGAGGTTGCCCACCGCTTAGATATTAGTATGTGATCAATTTGATTAAATTTATTAGTACCAGGTATCATCTAGGTTCCCTTATGAATATTTTTATGAGGGAAACACATACTAACAACTCTTAGTTTGTTTGTTATTGCCAACTGTGCCACTCTTATACCGTTGTTGATGGTAATATCATGTAAACTATGCTTACCAAAGGATTCTGCATATATTGGCTCTTTTCTCAGCTTTGCGTTCATATGGCCAAGGGCTATAACTACATCTATCTTCTGTGCGTTTTCACATTCTACTTGTAGTTGGTCATAGAATTGGTTTACTAATTCATCTGCCGCTTCTGTTAAATATTAACAATACAATTAAAATGTATTACAAATTTTAGGACAATAAATAGGTATATTTAATTATTTCTCAATTAGTAACCCATTCAAATTATTTGATACGCCCATGCCAATCGATGCTAAACGGCCTAGACATCCAGTCTATTTTGATGATTATTACATGTCGTTAGTATCGATTTTTGACAAATGTCATACAGACCTAAATTCCAGTCGAAACATGTCTGAGGCGATTAATAAAGCGCAAACTGATATCTACGATGAAGAATTCTTCAATAATTTGCAGCTGGCGAAACCGCTAGTGGAATCAATGGGATTAAAAAAAGGTATATTCAAAGTATATGTCCAAATATGAAGATATTTTCGTATCCTTTTACTATCTTAAAATTTATCATCTTTATAAAGAATATTATAAAGTATTACTATTATCTACTTCAAGGAATTTCTGATGAATGATTTTTTGTTCATTTAATTTTATATTATATACATTATTTCAACAAAACAGATAAATCAGTATCATAACACTGTCACAAACGTCCACTACTGAATATAGAGTTAGAACTCCTATTATTGTCAACACCATCTACTATGCACAGTTTCATCTAATTTTTATTTATTTTATTTACGTCATTTACCATTGTGTTGGTTGTTACCCGTCCTTTCATTTTTCCTCACTTGCTTACATTTTAATAACCTGTTTGGCCAATCTGCCTGTCTTTTTTAGAGTGTAGTTTCTGTCCATACTACTCGTCAAAGACTTGGTCTTTTTGATATTAGACTCCAACTCATTATTATTGTTTCGTAATTGCTATAAGCAAGATGCTTGTACAGTTTGAGAAAAACATATATTTTTTCTTTTGTCTGTGTTGGAAAAGCGATTGATGTGACACACCGGGATTTCCATTTATCCTCTGAAAATGTCTCAAAAAAATTGATCACATAAAACCTCCACATCTTTAAAGTTAAAACTTACATTCCGTTGTGCAACATAGTTTTTCATGGATGCCCAAATTAACTCAATGGGGTTTAACTCGGGATGGTAAGGTGGTAGTCTTAATACCGAATGTCCATTTTCCTCTAGAAGTTTATCTATTTCATATGATTAAGGTTGATAAAATTTTGCTAAAGTGTATAGCTCGGCTCTTGTAAATGGTAGGGGAATGGGGGCTAAGTTGACGAAGTAGGTAAGATGACGAATAGGCTAAAATAAAGCAGTGACAACGCTGAAAGCAATGACGACCGTGTCAAAACGTCTGTTTTGGAGCGTACTTCCCTGTTTGCTGCCGGACATTAGATTATCAGTTTGGCTACAAACAGCAAAGAGTGTAACACATGTTCAATTTGAATTCCCTACTTGGCAAGTGCATCCAGCGTCGTAGTGCAAATAAATATGATTAATAAAGTTATATTTTAATGATTAAATGATAATAATCATATATTTGTGAAATTAAAAAAAATATATTTTAATGATACTTGATGATATGATGTGATATTTATGAGATTAAAAAAAAACTGTATTTTAATGAAATTTTATTGGGTGTTTACATGGACGTATAAACACAGATGGACTCAGTTATTTACATAAAATTGTGTAGTCAAAATTATTTGAATACCTAGGTCACATTCTAGGCACCTTCAACTGTTGTGTCGTTTTGTTTTAAAATGTCTTATTCGCGAGTCGCTAAAAATATTACTCCGTATTTTATACCAAATCTATATTCTTTGTTTTATACTCTACAGGTGCTATCAAACCAAAATAATAATTTATTGGTTAGATTAATATATTTAATTGTAATCAAAATATCAAGTGTGCACATAGTGTGCATTATCATTTAATAATAGCGTATAATAGATATCAATCAATTATTTTATATGTAGAAGCACTGAAAACTATTTATAAATGGCAACGGTTGTTTACATTTCTGTCTTATGGATCTACGTCAAACTTCAAATGTTGTTCCATGTTTGTTTACTTTTTACAGTAGATGGGGAAAAGTTGATTTTCGATATTTTGGCTGTTTAGTACCTTTTTAATTTAATAAAACTCATTTATTTTTCTATGTAGGTTTCCAAATAATATTGACGATCGAACTATTTGGGTAGCAAATTTAGGAGAAAACATAAAGATTTTTTATTGTAGCATTATTTTGATACCTATTAAAAAATTAACTTGAATTTAACTATATTTTATTGTATTAATTTTAAAGCAAATAAAATTGTATTTTAATTTTTCTATAAAGACGTGATTTGTTAATAGTTAAACCAAAGAATATAGACGCTAAAGCGTCTATATTCTTTGGTTAAACTCTCGTTTTTTGTAATTATTTGAACGTGTTTTTATACATTATTACCAAGGTTAGTAGATATTTAAGTAGGTTGTCTCGTAACTATTTGGGCGGAGCGAAGGGAAGGCAGAATGCTTACGTCACTCATACGACAAAGTCAAATTGGACAGTTGTCTGCACGTCTGAGTTTAAGCATGATACTATGACTATAAGATAAGATATTGCGCATGTTTTTGTAACGTCATTGGAGAGTTGCATGTTCGAAATGTCATTTTTTTGTATGTGTCAATAAATAATCTTTAATAAATAGTTTGGAGATATCCTTATGTGTACAATTATTGTAATTATTGAACTTCTTAACTTATTTTCGTCCAGTAATTTCATCACAGAATGCATACGAATCCCATTTAACTTTAACAAGAATTCAAATTCTACTCTCCAATGACGGCATGCGCGAACCCGACCGATTTTGAGCTACGGGAAGATCCTATCTTGTTATTCATAGTATCATGAGTTTAAGTTCACGTTTGTTGTTGTCTTATTAAAAATAGTTTCTATTATTTAAAAATTCACTGTCATGAAATAACAAACTATAAATAAATATATAAGTATATATAGCCTGAAGATTTGTGCTTGAAGGACTAATCATTTTTTGTATTTTAATCTAATAATAAATTATTTATATTACCTATTTGTTTTTTTTTTGCCTACCACTAGATATGATAAGAATGCTGTAAATTCCAGGAAAAACATAAGTAACTTCCTACATATTTAGTATTTTTCCTTTTGAATTTTTTCTACTGTTTTTTTTGGGTTTTTGCGCGAAATAAACTGTTATCTCCATTTAAAACTCACAATATTATCAATATAATCAATTCTATTTTTTGTCATCAGACTATTGATTAAAAAAAATTAATATAATTACTAATATAAGAACTACTTAACATCTATGCTGTGTCCATCTATGTTTATATGTCCATGGGTGTTCACTACACAAGTGAACCAATGTAGAAACCGCCCCTGTGATCATCTGCTATATCCTACAAGTCTCAAATTTTAAAAGGCATAAAAAATTGTCAGAAAAGAAAACTAAGATTGTATTGGTTTATAGCATTTATTTCATTTTAAGATTTTAACAACTGCATTTTTTAAAAATTAACATTTCTTATTCTAATTATTTAGACTTTACATTATTATCCGACGTTTTTTACAATAGACATTTCAGTCCTTTTAAAATTGAATCTAAATTTAACGCAAAATTTTGAATTTTTTATATAAATATCAAAATGAATACAAATTAGGTCGTATAATTTTTTTGCGTCCTGACCATAGATGCATAAGCGACATATGAAAAAATCAAACCTCGAGATATACTATTAAACAAAATATTTAATATTTCTGAAGCTGTCAGATCATTCAATAAATTGGATTGCTACTTAAATATTTAATTTGATTTGTATTTTTTTTATGTAAATCATTTCAACCGAAGTGAGAAACCCACAAAACTATATTGTTACTAGAATCAAGTTAAATTTAGGTGAATAAATCGCTCTATAGTTACTTGAGCGATGACTTCTATCTTGCAGGTCAAGATATAGCGTTTTTGTGACTTTTTATTCTGAATTTTATACAACCATTAACCTCTCTTCGGCAATGGTTTTAGCATGGGACGATGTTGCGCATTATTTTAAATATTGCCTTTGAGTAAAAAAATATGCTTCTGAAGAGTATTTTCAAAAATTATTATTGTCATCACAAATATTCTACAATAACTTACTTTAAATACATTAAAATATGTGTAAAATATGTGATCTTTGTAAGTAGCAATCCGAAAGATAAAAACAAAAATGTGTATTATAGTCCTTCCAATAGCCTTTGAATTCTAAATTTCATGTTATTCTCACGACATATGCTAAACTCCCAAAATGAATTTTCCCTGGAGGTTTTTAAAAATGTCAATTTGGAAAAAATTATATTAAAAACCTTATAAAAAAATTATATTCTTATTGAGCCACAATAGACCTATTAGGTCAAATTGAAGAGTGGTTAAACATCCACGTATTTTAAACCTATACTAACCTACTAACCTAAGTTATTTACAAAATATATAATAACAAAAACGATGTTTTATTATTGTAAAACGAAGAGATTGGAAGAACTATATACAAAAAAATGCTAATACCACCTATGGTCACGACTGAAGTTCCTCATCATCTAATAAAGATGTCTGTATGATTGCTACTGATTTGTCAGGCTTTGTATACATTACTAATTGTTTTTAGACAGACATATTTGCAAAAAGTGGATCCAAAAATTGTGTAATTTAAAGTCTGACGATCCTGTGGTTAAAAAAAACCGAAATGCCTTTTTTAAATACATGCTTCGTATAATTCATCGAGCCGCTGAAAAGGAGGCGGAATTCCCCACTGTTGATCCGGTAAGTGTCCTTAATCTGCAAAAAAAACAATAATTGTAGTTTCAAAAGTAATTATTCTTTTTGATTTTTTTTAATAATAAATTACTTAAAACACTATTCCAGGAACTTGAAATCATAATTCTTTGTATCGGGGTAAATTTTCTCCTTTTTTGTCACTCCACTCATCCATCTACCATTCGTTGCTCCTTCTTCTTTTTAACTGTACAACATTCTGGTCTGTACATTGCAGATATTTTCGTTAAATATAATTTTCCTTTCAGATTCATTGGAATTTTTCTGTCACACAACGCACCACTCGCTCCCTTCCACTTCATTTATTAAACCCTAATTCTACTGCATGTATCTCCATTTTTCCCCATTACCTATGTAATACCAAGCCTAGGTAGTTAAAACTATTATTTATGCATATTAATGAAGTCTTTACTACACAAAAAAGAATAATACTGTCTATTGTTGGTATCCTGCCCAGACATTCAACTTTTGAGGATACTGAGTGTGTGTCTCACGCATCCAATGAGGATTCTCTGCTGACCAATATTTACAGTTTTGTCGGTTTACCTCTCCGTTCAATGTAAATGTTGATTCATCTGAAAAATGAATTGTGCCAAGAACTATTTCATTTGTGTTAATTTTTTCCATCATTCTTTCGCAGAAATCCATTCTACGATCTGGATCGTCTTCTGATAGCTCCTGCACAAAAGTCAATTTATATGGATGAAGTTTTTCTTCACACCTCAGGACAGTTGTGTGACTCACATTATTTTGACGTGCACTTTGACGTGAACTTGACGTTGGATTCTCTGAGTTACTTAACAAAATATCCACTTTCACCTCACCTTCAATGAAGTTCAGTTTTCTTTTTAATGGTTTGACATGTCCAATTTCTCTGAATTGTGCATAAATTTTAGACACCTTGTGAAATATTAGGCAACTGAGGATACCTTTGATTAAATTTGAAGTTTGCTACTTCAACGTAACTTCTACAATTCTCCCTGTAACCGATCATCATTAAAATCTCAATTCGGTGGGTCTCAGTTAAATATTTCATTTTTATTTCTGCAAGAAATTAGCTTTTAATTAGGAATTTATTATTTTAATGTAAAATGTCAACACACCAACAACTGGTTGATAACAATTCGCATTATTTCCTGACTTAGTTTAATAACAGACTATCTAGACAGTTTTTACCTATTCATGACAAAAAATGTTAACACAATTACTAAACAGAAATTTTCCCCAATATACTGACACTTAGAGTAGAAGTGTATTGTGTGACCTAATTTAAAATGTGATAAATTATCAATTTCAAAATTTCACCTTGTATTATTCATTATAGACCTTACATAATATAGTTTGTTGAGATCAGGTTGTTAAGAATCTTTTAAAAACAAAAATATACAGGGTGTTTCATTAAAAATAAGGATTATGGACTATGCCAGACTTGCGTGGATCACCTTGTACATTTAAATTTATGTTTAAAAAGCGCACATTTAAATTTAAAAGTTAACATATCCCAGTTTTTTAGTATTTTCTATAATATGGGCACAAACAATTTTATTCCATAAGTGGTTTCCACACTGTATAAAGATATTGTATGTGCCCCAATATGCAGGGGAAATATATATTTCAGATCTCCTAGTATAACGGGACAAATACTTTTAATAGAACACCAATGCATATAAAATTGTGTAAGAGCATGACAATCTTTAAACTAAATTTAAAGGAATTTCTAACTGCACACATTTTCTATTCAATTGAAGAATTTCTTGTTGAATATTACTCTTTTTATTGTTAGTTTGTTTTATTTAATTAGCTGATCAATTCTACACAAACTATGTTTGTGAAAAAGGAAACAAAGTATTTATTGATTACTTTTCACAATCCAAAACTTTCATTTTATTTGTAGTAAATCCATATTTAAATGAACATTACAAATATGATTCCAGTTATTGTTCTAAATGCCTTTTAGTATTTCCAACAAGATGAGCGGACCAAATGAATACTCTGGTGAGAAAATCCCTACATGAAGCTGTCCATCTAGCATAAGATTTAAGCCAATGAACACAGCCAGCTACTAATATTTAGAGTGTCATGACATCCTGACAAAGGCTCAAGAGTGAGGAGAAGGAGAATTTCCTATTAATAATACATCAGCACCATACATTAGGCATGAGGGAGTGTTACCCTGTAGTTTCTTACCCTCTAAAGAAGTGTTATGAGTGTGAACTGTTCTATGACTACTTATTACTTCCTCATAGATGTTTCTCACAATCTTCACAAACTTATAATAATGTTATTATTTTTAGGAAGACGATGAAAAACAAGAACTCACATTTACCAGCAAATGGTCCCAAGACAATCGCACCTACATTGCTGTTAAGCCTTTGCCAGGACAAGGAGCCCTAATCTATATGGCAGTTGCATCAGATCCTAAACTTGGTTGGGACCATCCTTGAATGTGGATTCTTTATTTTTTGTTTTATTAAAATATTTATAAAAATGAATGTTTTTATTTTTGTACTTTGAGTGTATTGCTCCTTTTTTTAAGAATTGCAAAAAACAATTTGTTATCTTTACTATTATATTGGCATAATAAAGTAAATAATCCAGACTTGCAATGGAATAAAATATTCTTTTGAATGACACCAGAATTGAAAACTAAATGTGCTATGTATGTACTTAATAGCTTTTAATAGTACCAACTATGCAAACTTACCTAAATTATATACACAGCATTAAACAATAACAAACACTATCAACGTCTCTTCCTACCACCTCCACTTTTACCACCTTTCCTTTGTCCACTCTTGCCTTTAGGTTTCTTAGCATTACTTTTTCCTTTGGAGTTTGACTTCCTGCTCTCTGATCTTCCTTGATGAGAACTTCTGAAAAATAAAGCAGACAAATGTGAATGTATATCTTTAAAACCTGTTAATGCATCTTTCAACAGCACTTTTTTATTGATTGATCTTAATATAATAGAATATCTTTAAACATAAACAGAAAACAGCTGCTTAACAATTTCAGAGACCAAGAAGATTCTTTAACCAATCATTTCACAGTCTAAGGAGAACAAAATTATCAAGCATTAAAAATATCTGGATATATTACATGAAATCTTGACTTACCCTCCAACTTCGGTATTAACATGTCTCGCTACAGCTTTTTCTATATCCAATTTAGGCCTCTTATTCAAAATTGAATCTACAATAGCTAAAGTTTCCTTCCTTTCTGTATCACCAGATACTGGTGCCAGTTTCCTTTTTCTCGATGCTCCAGGTGTGATTGCTGAAACTCCTCTTGCTTCTTTTTCCTTAGGCAATTCCCTCTGGAACTTGCCCAAACTTGCTGTTGACGCTTTTGCTATAGTCACTGCTGCTTGTAACTAGAACAAATAAGATGATGATAAGATAAGTACACAAATAAATAATCTGGAATTGAAAGGCACTATACATCTATGGTACAATAAACTAAACTGTAGTTACAATGGATCATTTCCAGGGAAAAATGTATATACATCTACTGCAATATTTGTTAATGTTTTTTCAAAGTTTTGTTATATTTAATAAGCTTGTCTGCCTGGAAAACTTTATTATTGATTTATTTATTTAGCGTATGGCTACATCACAGGTTCATATAAATATAAATATAAATTATATAAATTGCAAACAACAGTAAATATAAAAATATTATTCTACAAACAAACATCTAAATTATAAATATATTCGATTGACTCTTTTGTAGCAGCCAGGAAATCTGAAGGGTTGCCATTATAGGATCTAATCGGGCATTCCTCTACCATGTGTTTTACTGTTTGCCTTTCGGCGCCGCAGTCGCAATTTGGTGATTGTATTTTTCCCCATCTAAAAAGTGAGTCGGAACATCTGCCACAGTTCGTCCTTATTCTATTGAGTGTGGTCCAAATTCGTCTCGGTTGGTTGAAGCCCTCAGGTTTGCTTGTAATACATGGCATGTTCCAGTTAGCTGGTGCAGCGTTATTCTCCCATTGTTCTCTCCACCGTTCAGTTACATTAAAGTTTTGATCTACTAGCCTTTTTGCTGTTTTTAGAGGCGGGTGTCTTGAACGGAGCCTATTTATGTCTCTGGCGGAAGTTCCGACATGGGAGCGGAGCTCAGGATCAGTATTGATTTTTGTAAATTCTCTGACAAGGGCATGTTCCCGGCGGATGGGTGGTGGGCTATATGACTCAAAGCTGGTAACCAGTAAGTGGGCGTGGCCTTGATTGTGCCCGATATAGTTCGCATGGCTTGGTTGAGTTGGACATCAACACGGTGAGTATGTGGACTGTTTATCCATACTGGTGCACAGTATTCCGCTACGGGGTATACCAGTCCTAATGCTGTCGATCTAAGTGTGGGTGCTGAGGAGCCCCATGTAGTGCCGCAGAGCTTTTGCAGGATGTTGTTACGAGTTCGGAGTTTTGCAGCAGTCTTAGTAAGATGCTCTTTAAAGTTCAGCGTTCTGTCAAGTGTAACACCTAAGTATTTTGGGTGTTTATTATATTTAAGGAGTCTATCCCCAAAATTGATTTGAGGTTGATAGTTGGCCATCTTGTTGTATAAATGGAAGCAGGACACTTCTGTCTTAGTTGGATTGGGTTGCAATCTCCATTTGCGGAAATAATTCCCTAGGGCATTTAAATCGTTTGTTAGAATGCGTTCAGTGACCTCGAATTCTTTATGACTTGCGGCAAGCGTCCAGTCGTCTGCGTATCCAAACTTTTTTGATGTGGTTTCTGGCATGTCTGCTATGTAGAGGCTGAAAAGCATGGGAGCCAGCACGGATCCTTGTGGAAGTCCATTATTCAGTTTTCTTTGGGTACTAGTCTTGTCTCCCAATATAACTTTAAAGCATCTGTTGGATAGCATGGCGTTAATAACCTCAGTGGTCTTTCTGCATGGGATTATTCGCATTAATTTATATATTGCCCCTTGTCGCCACACAGTGTCATAAGCAGCAGATAGATCGATGAAGACAGCGGTTGTTTTTGATTGCTTTTGAAAGTTTGATTCCACATAATTGGTCAGGGCGAGTACCTGGTCTGTGCAGCTGCGGTTTGGCCGAAATCCTGCCTGTTCCACTGGTAAGTGTTGGAATATGGTTTTGCTGATTCTATTATACAACAGTCTTTCGAACAATTTGTACACCATACTTAAGAGTGCGATGGGGCGGTAGTTTTTCGGTGAATTATTACTTTTCCCTGGTTTTAAAATGGCGACGATTTTTGCATTTTTGAGTTGGTGGGGGACGTTTCCCGTTTGAAGTATGTCAGAAAAGAATTCTGCGAGCCATTGCCTAGTGAATCTGCCGCTATGTTTGAGGAACTCAGCGTGAATGGCGTCGAAACCCGGTGCTTTTCCTGTTTTCATTTCATTTAGGGCTTGCGATATTTCTTCATGCGTAAATGGGTTGGAATATTCTGTTGACTGTGCAAGACTAGATTTTATGGTTTTGAGGTCTTTTTTAACTTTAATTGTATGTAAACGATTTTGAGGTGCCCTAGAGGTTGACACTATGTGCGTAGCTATTTGGTCTGGAGTTACTAGGTTGGTTTGGCGAGCGGGTGGGTTGCTACTTCCGAGTTTCCGCAGTAGGGACCAAGCTGGTCGACTTGACTTCTGGAAGTCTAGGTTTTCTACTGTCTGTGTCCATTTTTCACGCCTGGCAGCATCAATACTGTGGAGTAGTTCGTCTGCAATCTCCTGCTTTCCATCTTCGCAATATTCTTCATACAGTTTTTTCGCTCTGTTCTGTCCAACCAGGGATATATTCTTTGCGGTATCCTCTAGGGATTGTCGCTTTTGCTGAGGTGATTATTGCTCCTGTTAGTCTCCCATAGTTCTGGCTCTTTGGTGGAATCCATCCTTTATTATTGATAACAAGTGGAATGTATGTTATGAAAAGTTTCTACAATTTATGCTGCATAATGTTTAAAATATTTAAGCTATGCCAAGCACTCATGCTCATTGATTATGTTGAGGGATAAGGGAATAAATATAACCTCCCTATCCTTTACTTCCTCTTCTAGTACCGTCTCCACTAATATGTTGGTTGGTTATAACCATTGCAAATGGAGCCAGGATATTTGTCATCTACAAGGACCCCTTTTTCCTTTTCATCTTAATATCACTCATATAGTTATCTTGTTACCAGTTTACTGATTAACTACTGATTTTGTTAACCTATATAGAATTCTTTATGATCTAAAACTATGGATTATAACATTGGAATATTCCCACCATTATCAAGTTTTTGGTCCATTTATTGTGGAAAATTCTTAATATTTTTTACTGTCGTCTTTAACGACCTAGTGAATGGTGATATTTAATTATCTAATCCAAATTCTTAAATAGATACTATTCTTGGACTCCCCAGTTGAGATCATTTTTATAATTTCAAAATATTTAACAATCTTAGATCTAACCTTTTGAATTTTTTGATTTTTTTAAACTTAATTTTGATGAATAAAGATGAAGTAGTTAGTTTTTGTTAATAAATCCCAGATACATATTTTTTATACAATCTAGAGATATTTGAAAGAAAATATGTAGGAAATAGAAAAAAATTGGTTGCTATATCTCAATCAGTCACAAATCTAGGTTCAAGGTATCTTGAAGGTCTAGTAACAGGCATCTTAATGCTAGTTATTTACAATTACATGTTTTTAAGTGAATTATATATTTTATTAATATTTTTTTATACAAGACATGACTGCCTCCATGAAACCCTGGAGATTCCCCTCCTGTGAAATTCATAACATATCCAATGTTGCAACAATTATCGAGAGAATAAACTCTCCCAACAGGAACTTTACTCTTAAGTGGGTGATTGACGAACGAGCCATAATACCGCGGTTTTAAGAACGACGGTTTTACTCGCGGCTCGTTGGTGGTGATCGACTAGTGATCAAAACAATTGTGTCAACCGTCCACAGCCAACATGTCGTATTCAACTGAAGTTGTGTGTTGTGTGCTATCTCGCTATAGCATACTACGTCTGTTCACTTCAACATTCGTGATATACGCGCTGTTTTAAACGACGAGCCAAGTAAAAAATAAAGTGGGTGATCGACGAACGAGCCGTAATACCGTGGTTTTAAGATCGACGGTTTTACTCGCGGCTCGTTGGTGCTGATCGACTAGCGAGTAAAACAGTCGTGTCAACCGTCTAGAGCCAACATATCGTGTTCAACTAAAGTTTTGTGTTACCTCGCTATAGCATACTACATCTGTTCACTTCAATGGTCGCCAAAAACTGCCGGTTTGGCTCGCCACCCCTGATACACGCGCGGTTTTAAACGACGAGCCAAGTAAAAAATAAAACAAACTGACGAGCCGCGAGCCAGGCTCGTAGGTATATAAAACCGCGGTATTGCAATGATACACTGACGAGCTTTACCGACGAGCCACAAAACCGCAGTTTTACTCGCCTGTCGATTAGGGCCTTAAGAGTTGTAAATGGCCCCAGCTCAAACACTCAAGAGATCCCTAAAAACCAAAAAATAAAAAACTTCATTTACCATCCACTCTAATAAAAGCTTGCATTAATGAACTCACAGGTGAATACACTGACAAGCTACTCTGCTAACTTTGTGTACCTATTGGGGAGATTGGGTTTTTGCGCTTCACAAATCTCACTACTCAATGATACCTGTGAGTTCCATGAGAAAATAGATGAAACTATTTTCTCAACTGACTTGACTCTGATTGAGACTACTTATACAACTCTAATGAGGCCTGGTCATTAACGCAAACGACCAATAACAAGAAGTATAGTGCCATACACTAGTTCTAAAGTTGGTTGTAGATGTAAAAATGACTTGCAGAAACAATGGTCACTAGAGAACACATTTTTTGTCTTTGTCAAGTCAGTGCACTACACATTCACACACAAAAACACCCACAGACAAACAAGCTCTGGCATGGCCATGGAAATGATTCTCTTTATTGCTACTGAACATGACCTCGCTGTTAACAACAAATTGTAGAGTCGGCTGAAGACATAAAAACGGTTGATGAAATCAATTTAACATCGAAATGGTAGCGTCCATCACTGTCATGTCATTTGTGGCAGAGCTCCCTCTCTAAAGCTGACAAGGACTGGCTGTTAAGGTAAACAACATAAAAACGGCTTGCAGGAACAATAGTAACTAGAGACACAGCTTCTATGACACTTAGATCCAAAACACACACACAATCACACAATCTGATTTCATCAAAACCTTTGATTCATGAATAGGAATATTAATCTTTATAGAAGTAATGAACATCAGCATTTTTAAAATACTAGGCACAACTAGAATATGATACCAGAATATTGGTGTTTATAAAGATGTCAAAAGGGGGCCAGGGTATTGGGCAATAAAATGTTTTAATGGTCTTCCTGAAAATATAAGAAATTTGCCTGAAAAGGAATTTGAAAATGAAATTAAAAAATATTGATAAAAAATTCCTTTTAGTCAATTCAGGAATATTTACACAAAATTTTAATCTTCATTGGGGTTTTGTAAATATTTGATGTAGATAATTTTTTTTATGTTTAACATAAATAAACAGTATTGAATAATCTGGAAAGAACATCAAATCCAGACAGAATCTCTCACCTCTGATTCGACAACATTGGCTTTATTTCAACAGCCTCTAAAACGCTTTGCTAACAAATACCAATAACAACTCGCCCCAGTGATGTTTTCCGTTCTATTTTGTTTTGATACTGTGTGACACATACACATCCAACAACAAACCTGAAGAGGATCCAGGATCCTAGACAGGAACAATCATATTCATATCCTTACACAATAAAGAATCCCTTATATTTTTCCAAATATGAACGGTAATAGCTATCCTGTAAAATAAGTGGTTACCATCAATTGAATTAATTTCTCCAACTTTAGCAGACTGTAAGCAAGTGGGACGAAATGCACTTGCTCATGTAAGTCCAAACACAAAGTAACTCTTCTCTATAACACAGAAAACCTTTATACGGATACTGCTAAAATGGTTGTTTCCGTTAGCTTCATATTTTCAACTCTTTGTTTTACTTGATAGTCCATTTTCAGTTTTGAAAAACTGAATAGAATAGTGAAACTATTTCTTAGGGAATTATCTATTATTGTATTATGTGGTAAACAAAGTCCTTTACAGACTCTGTCTGCTTCTCCTCCCATTCCCTTTTTCTTTGTGTTAGTCTTAATTTTATTGATATTCCAAACAAAAGGACTATTTCTGAACAATATGTCATTGACAGCTCAATATGTTACTTTTATACTGATCAAGAATAGTATTTAATATAGTTTTCAGAAACTAGGGATCTTCAAAGATTGTTTTATTTTTATTATTGTCCTTATCTTTAATATCTTATTTTTTGTTTTATTCGGTTCGCCTTTATACTTCTATAATTATTAAACAAATTTATAGTTTATTCGTCTTCCGGGTTTGGACCGTGTCATTTGTGAGTGACCCAAAAGTGGGTTCATCTCGACGTTTCGCTACAATTGTATGTAGCTTCTTCAGGAGAACAAAGAAAAAGAAAAAAAGGAAAAAGAAAGAAGAAGAAAACAAAAGAACAGGAAGATGGGTAGTTAGCAACGGTAACTCAGTTACTCAACGCAACCAGAGGCGAATACTAACTACCAAGATGGGCATTTGGTCACAGTAACTCAACTACTCAACGCAGCCAGAGGTGAAAACCAAATGCCAGGACAGGGATTCACGTCCAACAGCTCAGAACACTAACGCGTCGAGAGGCGGGGAGTGAATCCTCACTCATCGGATTGAGTTACTGTGACCAAATGCCCATCTTGGTAGTTAGTATTCGCCTCTGGTTGCGTTGAGTAACTGAGTTACCGTTGCTAACTACCCATCTTCCTGTTCTTTTGTTTTCTTCTTTCTTTCTTTTTCCTTTTTTTTTTGTTCTCCTGAAGAAGCTACATACAATTGTAGCGAAACGTCGAGATGAACCCACTTTTGGGTCACTCACAAATGACACGGTCCAAACCCAGAAGACGAATAAACTATAATTCTGACTCTGGCCGTGGAAGCCTACGATTTCATTAAACAAATTTAGTTCGTCTCTATTCCCTCAGTATTACTATTACTCAGGGAATTTCCATTATTGAACAAATAAATAAACTCAATTATTTTCATTTTCTCTTTAAAGGTACAAATAATATATTTATTAGATATTTTATTTGAATTTACCAAAAGTATAAGCTGAATATAGCTGCAAATGCCAAAAATATTTCGGTTTGGCAGTTTTGTCATGATTTTATGATGTATGCTTCAAATGTAAAGAGATAAAGCTTTTAAAAAGTACATTTTGATTATACTATTTTATGAATTCTGCAATTTTTAATTTATATGAAGCAATAACAAGTAGATATTTGTCTCTTTCGAGATTAATTGCAAACATCTTTTGTAATCTGACAACTGCTGATTTGATGATTGCCAAATCTATCCCCTAATCTATCAAAGAGTAATTGCTAAAAAAATTTCTAATAATTAACTGCAATTGATCTTCAAACAAACAAATATTTACTCATTGTTGTTTTATATAAATCAAAATTTGCTGAATTCTTAACATAATATAAACAAAATGTACTTTTCTAAAGCTTTATCTTTTTATATTTGAAGTATACAGCATCTACATTATAAAAACATGCCAACAATGTTTGACATTTGCGGCTATAATCAGCTTGTACTTTCACATACATAATCATTTAAATACTAAAATGATGTTCATATTTTACATAGATTAACAAAAATTGTTGTAAACATTCATTTAAGTCTGAACACAAACTAACTCTTGCACCACAGTGAAATTGGGCTTCCAATCATAAATACCATGATCTGAAACATTGTCCAGTCCAACATCTTGCAGAATTATGGGTATATGATTTGCTTAAGCATATACACTATGACTCAAAGAGTGTGATCACCTGATTACTGACTAGCAGCAGTCCTTTACACACTTTCTCTATTATTCATCTTATTTCATTTCCATTTTCGATTGTGTTGGTTCTAATTTTATTGGTGTTCAAAAAGAGAACTATTGCTGAACAATAGCCATTTGCAGCTGGATATATTGCTTTTATTAAATATCTTTTTCTTCTATAAAAATGTCCATTTGAAAATTTGAAGATGTTTCCATTTATTATGTTTCTTTACATAAATTTAATTACCATATGTGCCCTTATTCTTTGAAATTATCTTGTTTTTGTATTTCATTTATGTTCAGTTTTTCATTTTCTTTCTTGTGTTCATGGTGTCATAAATTTCAATTGATATAGATGATTTTCAAGTTAAAAAAACATTTTTTTTATATTACATGTTATTATGTAACATATATCTGTAATTCTATCTAAAATGAAAGTTACATTATTTTATATTACATCTAACATGTGATAAAAATTATACTTCTCAATAAATCACTAATTCCCACTAATTAAATCTAGCTAATGAGTCATTTATTGTCAAGTTATAGCTTGTTTTTAGAAGATAATAATCGATTTGTAACATTTTTAGTCATACAATATTACAAATACATGTACATACATATTAAATATGTTACAAGTAAACTTTTATTTTATAAAACTAAAGAAATACTGTTACGGATTTGTGAATTATTAAAATACTTACATCTTTAGCAGTGGAAACTTCAGGATTTGTGACACCAACTCGGGGGATTTTAATTTTTCTGGCTTTTGCAATATTCCTCAGCCTCTGCAACTCATTTTTAGCCACCCTCTCACCTTTAGCTTGGACCTTCTTTTGGAATTGATCTTCCATTGGATCGGCATTGGCTGGAACTTCTATAACCCAATCTTTCTCTTTTTCAGCTTGTGCTCGCTTAAAGCCATATAAAGGAACCCACTTTTTAAGTTGCTCATCCCATGATAACTTAGATTTTTTCTTTTTCTGTATACCTTTCGCTTTAGCAAACTGTTCCCACTTCGTTAAAGCTCTAGGTTTAGGTATTGGTTTCATCCTAGGTAATAAGGTCTTTTGAAGTGGTAATTTCACTACAATAGCTTCCTCTACACGCTCTGTAGGTAAGTCCCATATTTGATTTAATAGTAATTGTGTATTATCTCTAGCTAACTTAAGCAAATAGTCTTCCTTTTGTCGCCTAAAATAGAAAATATTTTTGTCTCGCACACCAAACTAAACAATGCTGTATGTATACATACCTTAATAAATTTGTATCGAACTCATTTGTATCTTCTGCTAAAAGCGTTCCTAAGTCATAATTTAGATCAATAAGCTTATTTACAGTTGTTGGCTTGAATTTTTCAGCCTCTAGGGCTGAATTTGCCAACAATTCATCCATGTTGTTTTTAGAAAATAATGCCTAACCTATCTTTTTACTTAGGAAAGCTACACGTGAGTATACAATATGACGGTAAAAAATTCCCTAGATTAGAATGACACGGTGACACTTTGACAGAATGTCTAAATGACATTTCAAACTGACATTCAAATGTTGCCAATTTTATTATTTATACAAAAGTATAATACAAAATACAAAATTAAATATTAATTTTACATTTCATAAGAGCGAAACTGTAGTTTAGATAAATTGTAGTTAAGTTATTTTTAAAAATTTGTATTAGAAATCATTTTTAAGAATAAAATGTTCATTAAACAACTCTATTTCTAAAATATTTTATTTTTTTGATATTGCGCATGCTTAAATTTTAATTAACCTGTCTTCTCAGTTTATACATTTTGCTTGTGCGTATAAAAACTTCAAAACCACACGCCATTTTGTAATGGTCGTCTGTGGTAGCTTGTCCTAGTTACATATTGTTGTTAAATATATATTTTTTTGATATTTTCTAGTGTTGAGTTGAAATAAAGCAAAAAAATACAAAATGACAGCCCACGATCAGATGAGGGCTATGTTAGATCAGCTTATGGGAACAGGAAGAAATGGTAAGTGTCAATCAATACATAACTTATAGCTGGTAGTCTATTATGGAAATTACACGCAACGGAAGGCGAATGTTAAAGGGAAAGCGTACTATATTTTGGATGCACAGTAATCTGTTTCCTCTTTAATTAGAAATTGCAATTTCTACTCAGTTCCAATTTTTTTAACTTTTACATTTCAATAATCAAAATATGGCATTCTGTAGCACAATGCAAACTTTGAATTCATTGATTGTATAAGATTATAAATAATTCTTTGATTTTAGCGTAATTACTTCATCTATTTAAACCAATTTAATGATTACTACCCTTAGCTGAAATATTTCGAAGATTGATTACATGACCTGTAGACTAGATCACCCTGATTATGTTTTATCTTGGTTCATGGTTTTGCTCAGTTTCTAGCACATCTTCCTGAGCCTTTTTTCTTCTCATAGAAATTTTATTCTCAAACTATTTTCAAACATAATTATAATACATTTTTCAGAATTTGTAAAAAAACCTTTTTTGAGAATAAGTTCTGGAGTGGAAATCGAAATGTCAAACATTAGTTGTTTAAAACGTTATTATCATCACAATCACAACCAATAATTGTGGCTTAATCCCACAAAAGCATAATAATTAATCATTTTAGGTTTCTTTTTCTCTTATGTAGTCGTCAATTTTACCATCTAGATGTTAGTGGGATATTAGTAAAACATTATTTTTAACCTTTTTGTTTTTAGGAACATATAAAACAAGTATTCTTTCTATTCTCTAGACAAACAAGTTTGTCTATTTTTAAGGTGTTTAGTTCATGAGGTATTTGCTGCTTATTTTTCCAGGTGTCAACATAGAACAAACCCTGCATCTCAGCTAAGTACTGCAGTAGGAAAACATTGCTGAACCAATGTCAGCCATAAGATTGCTCATGAGGCATTTTACCACATCCAATTTTTTATTAGATAATTCGTAAGGTCCCTCAGTTTTTGTACCTGTGTAAATCTTAAAATTAACTATACAAAGCATTTTTGAATCCTGTGACAAAACCAAGTAATTTAGAAGCCTTTATGGATATTAAGTTGATATGTTCTCTTAAAGAAAGCCTTTCATCTAAAGTAACTCCTAAGTATTTAATGGAGCAGACATACTTAAAAGATTGCTCATCAATTAAATAAGTTGTACCAATCTTCTTCACCTTTTCAGTACAACTGATATAACAATACTTATCAACATTTAAACTAAGACCATTACTATTACTACAGTTATATAAATGATGAAGATCAGCTGGTAAAGACAACTGATCTCTAAAATCTTCTATAACCCGCCAGAACTTCAAGTCATCAGCAAACATTAAACACTTCCTACTAAATCTAAAATATTCCTGTAAATACAGCAGCCCAAGGAATGCTTTAATTTCAACTGTCAGTATTTGTAGCATCCCTATGCATTTTTTATGCTGTCAATATATTTGTTAGTATGTGTGACAACCATCTCTAATATGTTACCATCATATAAACAGTTCCATGTTTCCAGAACTTTACGGAGACCTATAATATAAAATCAATATTAAAAATTAATTACTATTAAACTGGGAATAAGCCACAATTAAAGATAAAAATACGTTTATTGACGTTTCAATTTCCACTTCGGAAATCGTTCTCAAAATCCACATGCGTAGTCGCTCAAAGAGCGACTACGCATGTGGACAATAAATTTTTCGTCCTTCAATCTTTGCCCCGTATTTATAGTCGGTACTCAAGATCGTGCTCGAGAACGTGCTTGGCCAAGTCGAACTTACGTCAAAGTCATGCTCAAGTATTTGTTGTGTTCTATAAACGATACTTCGGGTATTCTCGTACAAGTTTGATCTCAAGCAAGAAAAAATTAGTACGGTAAAAGTAAATTACGAATAAACATCGAAAAAAAGAAGATTCTGTCAATTTTCTCATAATTGTGACTAAACTTTTAGCGCCAAATTTAGTTTATGCTACTTACTGAAATTTTGTGTTTGATATTAATATTTTGTGTTTGAAATTAATACTGGATATTAACTATTTTAAGGTATGTAATATGTTATAAAAAATATTTATTCTACAGAATTAATTTCTATTTTGTTACTGTGTCTGAGGCATAATTTTTGATGTTCAAAATATATGCTTATGTATATTTGTTTTTGGATATATTTATATGTATGTAATGCGTTACAATCATTATAATTATATTGCATGTGTAAGCCGTACGCTAAATAAATTGGTTATGTAAATTTTAGATGAGTGGAAATAGCAGTAAATATGCACCTTACTCAACAAAGGAAAAAGTTCTCCTAATTCAGCTGGTAACAGAAAACGCTGTGGTAGAGAACAAAAGGACAAACTGTTTTCCACTTCAGCAATGGAGAAAAATATGGCTTGGGAGTTCATAGCAACAAATTATAACTGCCAACCTGAGGTCAACATCTTGCTGCCTGATTATACCATCAGGCAGCAAGACGAGATTCATAGGATGAAAATGAAGATTTTAGAAGAAGATATGCTGAAAGCAAAAGCCTTAAGAGAAGCAGCTGAGAAGGAGAGGCAGAGAGCTATTGAAGAAGCTGAATTAGCTTCATTGAAGTTAATAGACTATAAAAAGGGTAATTATAGATTTTATCATGTTTGACTTGTCACTGGAATTTGTCTATAATTAATTGTTTATTTTCAGGCGCTAGAAGATCTTTTTCCTTTGTTGGATACTCTGCAGTTTTAGGGAAAATGTAGAAATAAGCCATAATATGTTTATTTATTGATATTTTTCAATCTATATGACCAGAGGCTGTTATCATAGATACAAAATTGTGATTTATTTTCTGAAAATAAATCACAATTTTGTATTTTTGGTAACAATATCTGGTCATAGAGATTAAAACATCAGTAACTATAACATACAAAACATTGTGGCTTATTCCCAACTGAAGATAGTGTTTGGAAAGTGTTAACTCGGTCTTTCAGTGGCCTTTTCACTTTAGGAGCACTGAATGTCAGAGTAGGGTCTGTTTTAGCAGGTAGGCATTTGACGTAGAATCAGCGAAGAGAGGATGTTTTAAAGTACCTCAGGAACTATCGCCGGAACTACGAAGAATGAATCCTGCACTAAGGTCAGTCAGGCGGCATCCTGGACTGAGATGTCTTAAGATTTCAGACCCTCCCCCCTCTATAAAGACGAAAAAAAATATACTTTGTGTTGTAAAATCATGTTTATTTTCTTTCTATTCTCGTTCCTGTTTATTTTATTTCTAGATAGTATTTAATGTAGATTTAAGATTGTTAATATTTTAATTTCTGCTGGTAAGATATGGTTTTACCTTTTTATTTGTTGTATAGTCTTTTGTTTTTTGATTATGTATGTTTCTTTTTCAGTTTTTTTTAAGTATTGATTGCAATACATAGTTCATAATATTTTTATGTTGTTTACAGAAAATTATTAAAAATTTTTAATAAATTGCTGCTACTTCGATATATATATATATATATATATATATATATATATATATATATATATATATATATATATATATATATATTTCATCCTCGAAAGAGCTTAAACTAGCATTCAAATGAAGCCATCAGTTAAAATTAAATGAACAATAGTATTCTTACTGTTTTTCTTGCATTTTTTTGTCTCGTTTCTCTTGTTTAGTTTGTAATCTTTAATGTTAAGTTATTATAGAGTTTTTATAACATCCTTTAAAAAATCTACAAATTGTTTTTGTAAGTATGAACCCTGGTGGTTGTTTACTTATATGCTAAAATCTTTTTTATTTGTAGTGAACTGATGATGCTTTTAAAAATAAAAGCGAAACGTATTCAAATAAATCAATAAAGTAGTTGACGACTTTTATTTGCCAATTATTGACTGATAAAACCTCTGATATTCAACCATTGAATATATTTTAAATATATATATATATATATATATATATATATATATATATATATATATATATATATATATAATTACTTTATATTTTTGTAATGTTCTAATTGTTGTACAGTTTACTCCTGATAAAGCTATAAAATAAAATAATCTATTTTACATTGTATTTAATTATAACTATAATTTGTTAAATAAAGAATATTAATATTCTAAATTTGTATTAATTTTTATTTGGTAAGGAAAGGTTTTATGAAAGGAATAAACACTTAATTAAAATGAGGGAAACTCCTTGTACTCAGAGAAGACATACTTACTTGAGTTGTCTGAGCATAGTGAGGGAAAACCCTCATTTATTTTAAAATTAAAACAAACACATTTTTTATAAATAAGACAAAAACATACTATATCTAATATAATATAGGTATTTAATTCTCAAAATCAACAACTTTGAATTAAACAAAGATAAGATATAAAATAAAAAAAACAACAAAAAGTGTAATCAAGTAATGATAATCATTCTGACATTTTGAGAAATAAGGTAGAACATACATAATATAAGTATTCAATATTGTATTTACATTCCCATGCATAACATTGGTGAATAAAATGTCTCCTAAAATTTAAACCTCATTCCACATCATTAAAGTTTCTATTTACTACTTTCTAGAAAATCATCATCACTATCATTATTTTCCTGTAAACATATATTGCAAAGTACTGCTGTAGCACTTATTATGCAAGATATGTATTTAATTTGGTTTGTAGGCCTCATTGCAGACAGGGAAACCATATTTTCCAGGTTCCAAATATCCATTTACACATTACATGTGTACTATTATTATATCTATTTTGTTGATCATTGCCTAAAAAGATGTATTTATCAAATAATCTATTTTTTATTTGGCCAATTATCAATAAATACCTGGCTATAATACTGGAGTAAGTAGATTGTGTCTGCACTGCATGCATATTCACTATTCATAATAATTCTGGAATTTGCCCTCTTTCCATTCTAACTTTTAATCAACTTTGATCAAATAATAAGCTACCAATACTTTATCCTGGATGTTGAACGACAATATTAATCTCAAAAAACAAAGAAAATATTGTATTGGAAATATTCATAAATATAAACAAACAAGTTAGGTTAGGATCCCGTGCTCAAGGAAGGTCGATCGGATGCTTGAGTACGAGCTGTCATTTTTGCGTTCTCAAGCTCGACTTCGTGCTTGAGAACGGTTTATAGAACACAAATTTGATTCAAGGTCGATCTCAAGTATCGATCCATACTTGAGCATCGTTTATAAATATGGGCCTTTGTGTCGAAGACATGTGACTGCAAATCAACTTCAACATGACCTAGCCGAGACTCAAAATATACGTGTGTCTTCAGAAACTGTTAGGCACATCTTAAGACAGTCTGGAGTTAGGGCCAGAATAGCTGCCACTGCCCCGAGATTTTTAGGGAACACCATATAGCACATCTAACAATTTCAGGAGAGCATGTAAACTGGAATATCGACGATTGGGGTAACATACTCTTTATGGATGAGTTAAGATTTTATTTATACACTTTGGATTGAAGAATACCAGTTTATCGACGAGGACGAGATGGGGAGCGTTATTTTCAATGCAACCTAAGGCCAGTGACAAATTTTGGAAGAGGATCTATTATGCTCTGGGGCGGAATATCTCTTAGGTGTCAAACCAAATTGGTATAGCTAGATGGAAAATCCTTAACTACTGATAGGTACATTAGAGAAATTTTGGAGATGCAAGTTTTTATCGGAGTGTATTATCAGTATATTTAACTCCAGATGTTACTGTGATACTGCCAGATAGATGACAACCTATCTTGACTCTTTGATTTCTCCCAGATCTAGAGTTTTTAATCCATTCGACAAACCTACCATGAAAGCCTACATTAATTAATTTTCCCAAAAGTATTTGGTGATCTACACTATCAAATGCTTTGGAAAAATCTGTGTATATTGCATCTACCTGTTTACAGCCTTCCATATGAGATAATAATATTATATATATATATATATATATATATATATATATATATATATATATATATATATATATATATATATATATATATATATATATATATATATACAAGGTGGTCCAGAATTATGTACATTAATTTCTAGAGCTCATAGTACGTCCAAAAATAAGGGTACTTCTTTATGTACACATTTTTATAAAACTGAATAATAAGGGAGATACAACCCTTTAAAGGGGTGAATTAAAATTCTTATTTTTTCAAATATCTTCCAAACGGTTTTGAATACGGAGTTTATATTTTGGGAGTGATTATAAGACATTAGGATAATTAATTTCATGTCACCACCTACCACATCCTATATTAATACAGGGTAGTTTTGGAGGGTAAGTGGGGGTTATTGCGTCACATGTTTTTTAATTTTTACATATTTTAAAAAAATATTTTAAAAATTATTTCTTTAGACTTTTCTACGCAAAAAAGATGCTCTTGTTATATTTCGATAGATATCACCGTTTTCGATTTATTTAAACTCGAAGGTATACATGTATTTTATTGTAATCGTTACATTTCTTAATATTCATCAAGTATGCTTTGGAATTGACACTTGTGTTAGCAATAATATTACAAATTAATGAAAAACTTAATTAATACTTAACATTTAATTAATGGCGAAAATAATATTTCACAACAACTGTTCAAAATGTCCTCCATTTTGTTGAATACCTAATCTAATTCTTTTATTTATCGAACGCATTAATCCATTTAATGTTACTGATCGTTTTGTAAATCGGGAAATACTTGTTCAATTTTGTCTCTTAACTCATTTACTGTATTAATTGGAGTGTTATACACTTTTGATTTCAAATAACTCCTTACTGTAAAGTCCATTGGATTAAGATCACAACTACGAACAGGCCAATGAATCGGTGCATCCGCACCCCGGCCTATCCACCTATCAGGGAAATGTTCATGTAACCACCTTCTACAAATTCTTGCGTAATGTGGTGTAGCACCACCATGCACAAAAAACATGTTTCTTCGTATTTGTAATGGACTATCTTCCAAAATATCATGTAAAATATTGTCTAGAAAATTGTAATACATGTTACCATTTAAATTTCCGGGAAAGATGTGGTATCCTATGAAACTATTTCCTAAAGTAGCTGCCCAAACGTTTATCTTGAACGTGTGTTGGAAGTAAGTTTCCATTGTAGCCCTTGGATTTTCTTCACCCCAGAAGTGCATATTTCTAGAATTGAACATACATTGTCTTGTAAATGTGGTCTCTTCTGTAAACAGAATGTTGCTTAAAAAATTTGGTGCAGTTTGAACTTTATTTTGCAATACTTCACAAAAATCAACTCTAAGTGGCATATCGTCAGGTAACAATTCCTGCACCTGTCGATAGTGGTAAGGATGTAATTGCTCTTCATGCAGAACTCTTAAAACACTTTGATGGGAAATATTCGTTCTTAATCCTAACCTGCGTGTACTTATTGTGGGGTCATTTATTACAGCATCCAATATTTGCTGTTCAACGCGAACATTTCTTGCTTCTCTACGACGACCAGCATCTGTATTCCTTCTTTGAAGACAACCGGTTTCTCTCAGTCGTCGTTCAGTACTTACAAAAGTCCTGGCATTGGGAATATTTCTGTTCGGATACTTTTCTCTGTAGCGTCTTACAGCGGCAGCAGCATTTCCCGAACATTCCGAATAGTGTGCCATATTGTGGGCAAACAAATTTAAAAATATAGCAAAAGAGACGTGTTAAACAAATTTCACTGTCGAGTACAATAAAAGTGTAGATAAAATATTTTAATTGTTATTAAACGTCACTGACAATTCATAGACTACTTAAGATTAAAGTGTTGTTGCTAACACAAGTGTCAATTCCAAAGCATACTTGATGAATATTAAGAAATGTAACGATTACAATAAAATACATGTATACCTTCGAGTTTAAATAAATCGAAAACGGTGATATCTATCGAAATATTACAAGAGCATCTTTTTTGCGTAGAAAAGTCTAAGGAAACAATTTTTAAAATATTTTTTTAAAATATGTAAAAATTAAAAAACATGTGACGCAATAACCCCCACTTACCCTCCAAAACTACCCTGTATTAATAGAGGATGTGGTAGGTGGTGACATGAAATTAATTATCCTAATGTCTTATAATCACTCCCAAAATATGAACTCCGTATTCAAAACCGTTTGGAAGATATTTAAAAAAATAAGAATTTCAATTCACCCCTTTAAAGGGTTGTATCTCCCTTATTATTCAGTTTTATAAAAAAGTGTACATAAAGAAGTACCCTTATTTTTGGACGTACTATGAGCTCTAGAAATTAATGTACATAATTCTGGACCACCTTGTATATATATATATATATATATATATATATATTATATATATATATATATATATATATATATTATATATATATATTATATATATATATATATTATATCAGATTGATAGCAAACCAAATTTGTTGCAGTGGATTTTTTGCTATGAAAACCATGTTGTGATTGAGATATTAAGCCTTTACATAACCAAGAAAGTTGCTTTGGTATAAGACTGTCAAAGAGCTAGGGATTGCAGATTGTATACAAATGCTATGATAATTTTCAATATTGTCTTTCTGACCATTTTTAAATATAGGAACAACATAACTTTCTTTTCATGAAGAAGGAAACACAGAGGTTTCCAATGATCTATTAAACAATTTTTCTCAAATGCATGGATTTTATAGCTTTCCCATTTTATCACAAGCAGTGGAGTGTTAATTTGTTAATTCCATTTTTTGTTTTTATTTAAAAAGTAATCTACATTTGGTTTTTGTTTTCCAGGTGAAAGTAACAAATTCCATGTTAAGTTCAATGATACCAGAGTATGCAAATCATTTTTGCTTAGTTGCTGTCCCCACGAGATTTTATCTTCCACAGTAAGTGCCTTACATCTTTTCCCTATAGAATTATATATAATGCACACTGAATAATTATACAAACTTGACCGTTTTTATTTCACAATTTTATTGTTGCCGGTGACTAATGACGCACTGTGTTTTCAGAAACTTCAATTATCTATAATAAGATGAGGAATAGGTGTTTGGTTTTGTATGTAAGTACTATGACGTACGTATAAAATTTAAATTTAATAGGTATATATACATGTTGATATATATAGACGAAATCTCACCAAATATTATTTTCCGAGGGTTTAGCTTACAAGTCTCACATTGTAAGAAATTAAAAGGAATACTTTGTTGCTTTCATATTGTAATGAAAAAACATTCATTATCAATGATAATACATCAATAATCTTTTATACATATAGTTTGACATAAATATTTGTGACATCTATGGAAGCTGTAAAAGTTTTTCCAAGCTTTAAATCCATTTTTGTCCTTTTTTCTCTTAAAAACTTGAGTATATCTGTTAACATTATTATTAGCTTTCCTTTACTCTCCTAGTGTTTACTAATTTGTATGTTTTTATAAGCAATCAGCTTGTTCTTTTCAAGAAACCTTTTCTGCTTTACCTTAGCATTTTGATTTTCCTATAGTCAGCTGCCATTTAAAATCATCTATCTTGGGTCATATCAATTAACTTCTTCAGACTTCTTTTTTCATTTCAGTAACGATTTCCCAAACAAACCATCAATAGCTCCCAATTAGTGAAATACAGGGTGATATTGACGGTGTGAAAACAATAGGGTTATATCTTCTTTATTAAAAAAATTTTTAAGAAACTTTATTGGAACTTTTGATACATATGTTGTGGAAGGGTACAGTGGCAAACAAAATTTTTTTTAGGGAGTCTCACTAAGGAGAAATAATACTAACTTATATTTTTTTTAATTGAGAGGCCCTTATATTTTAATACTCACTCTGCAAATACTTTACTCTATTTGGCATCACATTAGACATTTAGAAACAAAAGACTAAGTAACATATTCTAACATTTTGTTAATAATCCTCCTTCACAGTTTTATTCGCCAAAAATAAGATTAACTTTAAAGAAAAAATAGGAAGAATAATTTACCAACATAAAAAAATTACCTAACAACCAGAATTAATTTTGCAAAAATAGAAAAATTATAATAAATGTTCAAAATGTCCCCTGTTTTATAATAATTATCACCTTTTTCTTACAGATCTTACACAGCTGAGTATATGAACTGTCTTTATTTTACTAAATGGTTGATGAATGATTTGTAATAATTCTTCCTTGGTGTTAAAGTCAGTATTATAAATATTGTTTTTTTAAAATCACTAAATAAAAAAATCAGGAGAATTTAGTTATATTTTACACAATTGTAAAATTTAGAAAAGGATCAAAACTGCATTTTTCATATATTTGTAAATTGTCATAATTCTACTTTTGAAATCTTCTGTCATGGCGAAATGTGTAAGTATATTTTGACGATTTACAAATATGTAGAAAATGTAGTTTTTATCCTTGAGAAAAACCATTATTTTGACAACGTTTCTTTCGGGAAGCTTGACTGTCAAGTCAGGTAGTAATGCTTTTTGCTGGTGCTACTTCAATATAAAATTCCAATTTGCTACTATTAAGAACAAGTTGCTTATAATGGATGTTGCATTGCGTATCTATTATTTCAAGTTGAAAGTTGGTGAGCATTTCATCGACATTGATATTAAAAGGAATGGAAAAAATGTTACGCGACAGTTCATTTACCTTAAAATCTAGAAATCTCTTCTCAATTTCCTCGTGCAGTTGTTGAGCTGACCTTTATTATAAGATTTTTCTCAGACATGTCTCATATTGCTCATTTTAGGAAAATGGGTCAGTTCATTTTTCTCTATACATCTGGAAAATAATTTAAATTGCACTGTGAAGACTTTTAAATGTCCCCAAAAGTCATTTGACAATTGGTTCTTGCCTTGAAGCTTCATATATTTAGGTGTGACAGCAAATCTGTAAAAAATGTAAATTCAAGCCAATTTTTGTCAGGCATAATCTTAAAGTTGTCCCATTTGCTTTGCTCCGTCAAAAAGTCCTGAATCTCCTTTCTGAAATTCCATACTTTCTCAAATGCGTTACCACACCTTAACCATCTCTTGGAAACTCTTGGAATTGTCTATGCATCAAACTTTGTGAAAGTATTGTGGTTACATGTTTAAAAACCATGCTCAATACAGGTTTTATGCTAAGAGCTGCTTTACACAACACATCCTGGTGTATTAAGCAGTGCAGAAATAATACATTATTATGAGGATTTTCTTTACAAAATATTCCCATAAACCCCACATTTCTGCCACTATATTAAGTGTTCCATCTGTGGTTATATTACGTAATTTTTCTTTGGGCAAGTTTAACTTGAAACATTCACAAAACAAGAATCATAAATAATTTTTGCTGTAGTATTTCCTTCCAGTGATTGCAAGCTTGCTAATTCTTCGGTAATTTTGAACTCTTGATCAATTCCTCTAATAAAAATCAGCAACTGGGCAGTATCGCTCACGTCTGCGTCTCGTCCGTGCTCTCGTCCATGGTAATTGAAAAGTATTCAAAGCGTTTGCATTTTTTTTTCCAACTTTGACGATAAATTTACATCAATGCTGTCTATTCGATCAGTTATCAACCTTCGTGATAAAGCTAAATACTGAAACTTGTTACCTTTGTCTTGACAAATAATGTAACTTACAGCTACCATGCATTCTTTTACAAATTCAGTATCCTATGTGTTTGTGCTTTTAGCAATTTTGTAAGCTACAACATAACTCGCCAGTGTTGCAGCCTTGTGAGTATCTGATTGCTTTGTAAACATGTTTTGCTGCATAAATATTTATTTGAAAATATATAAGAGAAAAGGAATTTTTCCGCTTACCTCGTCAAGAGACCACTCAAAGAAAATTTTCGTCCTGTCTGTTGGACGTCCAAAGAGAGAGAGATGAATGGCGGGGAGCTTAGAAACGCACAAATTTTGAGGCGTCAAGGTCGGAACCATTAGGACTAGTTTGATCCTTGGGTAGGTTAGATGCCTCTGTGCTCAGCGGATATATAGCATGAGCAACATTAATTTGAATATTTACTAGGAATTATAGTAATGACTTTTTTGAAGTAGTTACAATCTGACCATTTCTCAGTTCTAAGATATAACGGGGCTGTTATTAAATTTCTGTTAGAATGAATAGGAATTGGATTAATAATAACTGTTATTGTAGTTTGTCTTGATTTTTATTTATTTTTTATTGAGTTGTCATATTTATTATCTTTATCTAAAAGGACTTTCGCCTCATCTGCAACATGAATCGATTTTCTATTATATCTTGCAACTCGATATAGGTCACTACTAACCTGTCCTCCGATTACTGAACCCCTTATCGCGTTTTTCTCAAATATATTTATAGGCCAAATGCAGAGACAGTGAAATAATTGACAATACAATAGTATAATGATTATAAGTGATCAATATTTACAAAGTTCAACTTTTAAAAAATATGTTCACTTGTTTACTTAATATGTTCTTCTGAAATTCTTGTTTTTTGTTGCTTAAATTCCACCTGATGTTAAAAATGAAAATTAATACAAGGTAGTTAAATACTTTGGTATTCCTTTTAGTTTCTTATAAATTCTTTATTCTTTGTTGCGGTATCGAAGGTATAGTAATAATTTAAAAAAATGTAGAGTGAGAATTGATATTGAAGCAGATTCTTGACATTGGTAAGTAAAATAAACATTGAAAAGTATTGATTTTGTATTAGGGATTTCAGGTCTCCCATATTTTGGAACACCACAACTAACTCATCATCATTTTGTTTTGTATTCACTTAATGTATTACTTTAAATATCTCTTTTAGTTGTTAGTATAGAAATTTAATTGGGGTATTTGTAACAGAGTGCTTTTAGTAGATAACGGACTGCAATCAAACAGCATGACTTGGGTATTTTGTCTTATCTAAAGAATGTTAACTATAGTCACTATATCTTTTACAAATAACTATTTTATAACAGATTCAGGAAGAGTGAGGACATATACTTAGTGAGGAAAAATGTAAACAATAAACAGTCAGGCAAGGTGACTTCTTATCGACTTTTTGTTTTTTATTGCGTTGTTAGACCAGGTAGTAAATACATTACCAAACTTATTATGAACACAGTAACTATCAAACAAAAATGATTAAAAAAAATCGCTGAAGAAAAACAAATTATACTCATAGCAGATGAAAACAGGTAATAAAGTTAATAGAAATAAGAATATGTAGATATTTGTAATAGAACAAATTGGAGATTGGATCTGAACGAGAATATATGTCAAAAATATCGTTTATATAAATATTTACATATAAAAAGATGAACAGCGTGGCATATAGATGGATAGCGCTACTAATAAATCCTCGTGATTTAGGAACTAAAATCGTCAAATTTTATCTATCAAAGTTTTTCATCTTTCTCGTGACTTGAGTTTTCCTCGTCTACCAGTAGGTTTTCATTTCCCTTTTCAAAGGAATGTCCCTTTTCCCTTTCTTGTGATCACACGCTAGCAGAGCGAGGAGCTGGGATAGTGATAAGGATAAGGTTCTTGTAGATCTCTGAGACCTTGACGAGCTTGAAGATCACCAGGTGGAATTTTAGCCTATTGCAAATCGTGTTCATGATTGTGTCTTCGGCGGAATTCTTAATTTTCTTTGATTGGTTTTCTTTGATTGGTTCTAAGATGTTTCTCTAATTTTTCTATCTTTTATTTTAAGTCTTCATATGTGAACATTTGGAAGCATATTGGGCTGACACACTGATCATTGTATTATAGTGACAGAGCTTTAGGTTTAAAGATAAATGTCTACTTTTAAACAGATCTTTGCTCAGATTGAATGCACTTTCTAATTTTGTACAGCATTTGCAGCATTCTCGGAATTAAGGTGTAATTAACTCTCCAAGGTGTTTAAACTTTTTTGACCGTTTAACTTTTTTTTATTGT